TATAAATGAAGTTGTACCAATACTTGGTACACGAAACGTTTATAATATCCAAAGACGTCTAATAAATACAAAAATTTATACAGCAATAATAAAAAAATTTTCTTTAAATTAAAAAATTACTTTTGATCTACTGACTGATGTGGATGACTCATCTTATCATTTCTATAATTAATTTATTGATGCACTTGTTCACATGATTTTATAACCGGGTCCATTAAAAATATTTTTACACCAAAAAATTAGGCATATTTTATAACGTCAGTAAATCATATTTTCGTCGTGGCCATTTTCCATTTTTTAATTCTTTGTACACCATTTACTAACGACATCATGAGCATCGTTAGTTGCATTGGTTTCTGTTGATGCTAAGCAACACGAACGAGTGAGCGAAAAGTGAACTAATGAATGACTATCATATCACAAAAAACTATGTGATCACAGTCTTCTGTCATCATCCGGTTGTATGATTTTTTATTATAAACTTAGCAAACAACGAAGCAACGCTACTCAATGTTTTAAATTCTACGTTCGTTTCCATCGCACGTAAAAAACAGACACGAATGCAGACTACTATATAAAATTTGAAAAAACTCATACTGAACTTTTTTTATTAGGGATTTCTTTAAGATCATTGACAATATTATCAAATATATTTACATTTCAATATGGTTTTTTTGTTTTAAGGTCTAATAAATAGTAATTCCTTTTGTTGTCAGATATAACTGTTTTAGTTTTTCAAAAAAAAAATATGACTATTTCCATATAATTTTAAAATAGTAGGTTTGTTTTTTGGTGTCTAAATAGTGATAGTTACTGATATATTAAATTGAAACCTATAAATATTTGTAGAAATATAGGAGTTGAAAAAAACCTTCTTCTTATCAATCGAACTAAATTCTATTTTGTTAAAGGACACGTCTTTTTTATTTGCATCGAATAAATCTTAGTTGTACACAAGTGTTAAATGAAAGATAACTCTAATTCGGATGCGCATAAATTTATTCTGAGCGTAGCCTCAATTTTAATAAGAAGACTAGAAGATCACAACCATTGTTGAAAACGATATGATCAAACTTCGTATAACGTTGAAAAAGTGCTTTTTTTAAATCTATTTAACATTCTGTCATTTCAGATTTTTTTGTGTTTCTGCCATGTCACAACCACGAGAATTAATGTGTTCAATCTGTGAAAAAACTTCAAGAGTACGACGCAATAAATTCAAGTTTATTACAACAGCAGCAGTTGAACATAAAATGTTATCTGCTTATCGATCTGTACATGGTCATGATCCACCTGTTCCATTGATTGGTACTTCTGTTCATAAAAAATGTTATCACAATTTATACGAACGATATCATTATAAGAAAAGCAAGAAGTCAATAATTACTTCCAATGAACCATCATCAATGCAACTACCTGATAATTCACAATATCTTCTTCATTCAAACAACGTGCCAATGTTCATTTCAACTTCTCTCTCTACTGATAATAATGATTCATTGATTAAAGCAAATAAGAACAAATTATCTTTATCTTTAAATGATAAAAATTTGAAATTAAAAAAAGAACTTATTATACCTCTTGAAAAAATTAACCTTCAAACTTTGACTAATGTTAATACCGATCAGGTTCAATCAATTCAGTTTAATGCAGCTACAACTTGTTCCTTGCCCATGTTGCAACGTGAACGAAACATATTAAGTGAGCAACTACTGTCAAGCGACGGTCAATCATTTCATATGCTCTTCTTCATTTTTCATTAGGTTCCATCATAAACACGAATGTTGATATGGTATCTCATTTTCAAATGCTGAACCAAGATTCTATGGATGAACGTACTCAATTCAACTCAACATTCACATCGTCCAAACGAAACACATGTCCAAGTGAAATTATATATAATGAAAATAATTGTAATGAACTAATATTAACATCTTCTCCGATTACACCGCTACCAACTACAAATTTACCTCATAATTTGAACATGATTAGAACAATAAATGGTAATTCTCAGCTTAGATAATTTCTTATTATCTAACTTTCGTTGATTCGATTTCCTTTTTTTTATTTAATTTCACTCAGATTTACACAAAAGTCATTTGTTTTCATCAACTTCGATCTCACTCATCGATGATCAAGAAGAATCATTTGTTCTAAGTGAAGTTCATGATCAAGAATCAGATTCATGGCTAATAAGAAATTTTTCAGGTTTCTTCTTAATAAATCCTTTGCATATCATCAGTAGGTGCCAAAGGTTTTTTAGATTCTAGTACTTCATTCAACATTAATACTGCTAATAGTCTTCAGCAACCTGATTTATTACCAGTTACCAAAAATACTAATAATGAAATTGAAATTACTGTTGCTACATTGCTTTCAATGATGATTGAAATGGTTGTCGAAAAGATAGATATTAGTAAGCATAGCGCATTTGCTTGAAAACAATAACTCATGTAACCAGATGAATTAGTCCATTTTCGCCGAATTGTTGTCGCTGACGGCAATATTGGAATAGCCAAAAAATTCTTTCAATAAGTTTGCATCGGCGAAAAGCATTGTCGGCGAAAATAGAAGTTACTCAAGCAGATATCTGTTATATAGAGCTGAAAGAATTGTCTACTTTTCGCTAGAAATTAATTTCATATTCGTTTTATTTCTTTTTCTTAGGATCGAAGTATCCATTGATTTTTTCAAAATTGGTCAATGATGAATGTTTTTCATTAGCACATATGGCACAATCACAAATTGAAGTTATACCAAATACTGAAACCATAATTTTACCAACAAAAGAACAAACTAATAAATTGCTTAGTAAGAAACTGCAAAAATTTATTTGAAATTAGATCAATTTCTTGTAGATCTTGATATGCCACTTTTGATCGATAGTAGTTCTACATTCAGCACCGTCCTTCAAGCATCAAAGTCTCCAACTGATAATGTACATGAAGAAGCATCAGTTATTGAATACGAATCAGATCAATTTATGAATACAAGTATTGGTAATCGAGGTCAATGTGATCTAAATTGTTTTAATGATTTGCCAACCTTGACTTCATTATTAGAAGAAAATCAAAAAATTGGTTTTTATGATATTGATGATGGTGCGAGTATTAGTAGTAAAGATTCATCCATATTGACATCTGCTCGATATGCATCTTCACCTATAGCTTTAGGTGATAATGAACGTTTAAATAGTTCATCTGATGAAATAAATACTTTTCCAGCGAAATTAACAAGTTCAAGAAAGTTAAGTTCACGATGTGTTTCATACAAGCGAAAAGTTAGTTAATACTTTTATGACCGATATCAGCAATCATATATATTTCTTTAGATAGGTATGTCTATTCGTCGAAAAGGACCAAGCATCTCTCGTCACAGTCAAATGAATATTGAAAATCATTATCCTGATACAGAACGTTTTGAAAGTCTATTTCAATCACCAATAGCTGAGCTTAGCGCTTGGCTATCAGAACAAATACGAGACAAACTCATTTCACTTAACATTGTCAAAGAAAAATTTAAAAAAATTATTGATGCTCACCATCCCAAAAAATTTGATAACATTAAGTTAAGGAATGACTGGATCCAGCGACAACTGCAACAACATTCACCAGAATACTTTTGGTTTGGTACTATTGCCAAATGTCATGGAACATATGTTGGTTTGAATAATATCGATTACCATTTAAAAAAGCTTTTGTCATCATCACTTACGTCCACCTTGTCACAATCAAGTGCCTCCCCTACTGTCGATTACGACGATGATATAAATAACCAAAAGAAAAATTTATGCCAAACGTTATTCACAACAATAACTACATTACGAGAACATATTCGTGATAATGTTCATCTAGTTCGAATCTTCAATGAAGAACCTGAAAAAATGATCCATTTAACAGCTAGTTTATTTAATAATCTTGTTCCAATGCTGCTTCGGAATTTCATTGGCATATTAACAGCAAGTGATCGAAGTTTTTTGAAAATCAAGAGAGAATATATGTAAGATAGATAACTAAATATTGAAATCAGTATATGAAGAATTAATGCTCTGCTTATTTTTCGGTTCAGGTATTTCGATATGTTTGATATTGATTTGTTTCGTAATAGTCATGAATGGCTAAAAAATATTTCAATTTGTTTTGATATTATCAATGTTCAAAATGATCGAATTGTGACACCCAAGCATATTTTATTAGCCAATGAAGTCTACAGACACGCTCATTCGTATGAATTATTGACAGTATTGAATAGATATGGTGTTGTATGTTCGCATCAGAATCTCTCTCGTCTTTATCATTCTATTGGAAAGAATGATGATACATTCGCATCTGCAATACCTACAAATGTACGTAACAATTGTTTTATGATCGAAGTACATGATAATTTCGATATGAATAAAGAAACGTTAAGAGGTGAAGGAAGTTTACATGTTGTTAATCGAGTTATTTTGCAAACTAGTGAAAATGATGGCAAACTTACCCATTTTCCTTCTCCAATGTCTTCAAATACTGCACGTTCGTCATCACAACTATCTTCAAACAATGTAAATGTACAAAAAAATATATTGTCGTCTTCATCTTCTGCTAATTCAGCTTTAATTTTGTCTACTTTAACGAGTGCAAGTGATATATCAGGTATGTTTTCTTTATTTTTCTTAGCAATGATATAAGTTATTTTTTATTTTCAGCTACAACAACAAATCATTTAAGCAAACCGACTAGTCTTTACAAGGAGTTTCTATCCTCAAATCATGGTGTATCTTTATTTTGCTTTGATCTAGTCAAAAGTTGGTTCAGTACAAATTATTTAAATTCTTCTGTATTAGTACCACGACATTGTACACCTATTCCATTAATATCAGGCTTTTTTGCCTCTTATTTGTCATCATATTTACGTCCAATACATCATGTAACATTTCTTCCACCTATGCATGATGATCCAAATAAAACTTCGACCACATACGCATGCATGGAATCAACAAAACAACGGTTATTAGATAGTGGCATACAAGAAGTAGCGGTAATTGTTGTTGATGAAAAGATTTACAGAAATTGTATTGAAGTAAGCAATACTTTTTTCTACATACAGGATTGATGTTGATTTTTATAATTAAGGTAAAACAAAATAATAAATTACTTTTTAATAAAGTATTACCTTATCCAGGTGAATTTCGTTTAATGAAAAACTATATGATTGCCGTCTGGGACATATTAGAAGGATCTGGCATTGATACAGCATTAGGTGAATTATACAAAGGAGCCAGCCTTCGATCAATTATGAATTGCTCTCATTTTAATAAATCTTTACGTGCTATGAAATTGCTGCATTCCGCTTTAGCCGCATTAATCATTCATGAGTTTCTTTCTATTGTTCCACGTGAAATCTTCAATGATATTGAAGTTATTATGCAATCCATACCACTTGATGTTTCTACTAATACATGTAAAATTGCATGGTTAGTACTGCTTTAAGTCTTGTCACCTTTTGTATTATAAATTTTCTATGTATTGAAAGGTTTGAAAAAGTTCAGCAAGTTGTGCAACAGCAGCAACTCAGTGTAATGTTTAATGAATGGGTTTGTGAGAAAAGCAGTCAGAACAAAAAATTCAAGTTTTGGCATTATGTTTTTAATGACCTAATAGGTCCATTAATTGATATGTACATTGCTATCCGATCAGCTGATTTCGATGGTCGCAATGCAGCATTAAGTCGAATGGCACCATTGTTTTTCTCAACAAACCATTTGAACTATGGTAAATTTTCTTTTTTCATAACAATTAGTTACTGAGAAGAACATCAGTTTTATAGGCATGCAGGTGTATTAAACTTTTAGAAGAACATTCTGAGGAAAGTGAAACTATACCGTATATAAAAAGACTATTATGCCAGTGATATCTTGTCAAAATGCATATCAAATCTTCTTGGCCTCTTCATTTCAGATGCGGAATTTTCTATCTTGAATCGTTCTGTAAAAATGATACTACGTTTTTGATATAAGATCGTACAAGAAATGGGACAGAGATTATTCAAAAAAGTCAAATTTAAAACTAACAGACTCCAAATAAGACCTGCAGATTGTCTACTGGATTTTTTTGTTTAATTGTAACAGTTTTTCACATTAATTTTAGCTCGATTATGTGCACGTCACCTTACCGATCTTCGTTCATGTTCCGATGAATTATTCAATGTGCTTGCCAAGGCGTTTGCAGTTCAACGAACATCACGTCCTTTTTCTGCAATACCGATGGACCAGACAATTGAAGTAACAATCAATAAAGCCGGTAAAGGTCATGCAGGAATTAGTGGTCGATATAATAAAAATATGATTGATATCTGGTGTAGATCCTTTTCTTATCGTTCATTATTATCTACTCTTACATTTGAATTTGCTGAATATGAAACTGATAACGACAATATAGATGCTCATATTGAATGTAGTCCTTCAAGACTTGAATCAGATCAGCATGATTTTGCTACATTACTTAATTTCTTCTACAAAGAACGTTTATTTACATGTGAAGATGAAACTGTTACACAACTCTTTTTTGGACAACAATTTCAAACAGTAATTATTGATGATATTTTGGATTATGTTCGACGTGGAAAAGTAGCTCTTGAAGAATTTGTAAGTATAATTAGTTCTGAAAATAATTATTTATCTTTTTGTTCTAGATAAAGGAACGTTTTGTTTTGTGTTCAATTCCATCTCAAACTAGTATGAACAAGATGAAATTACTGAAATTACGTGACAATGATAGATTTGATCCACAATCTGGCCTTGTTAAACGTACACCAAAGAAAGTAATCGACAATATTAAAGAAATAGACGAAATTATCATAAAAGCAATTATTCTTAGTCAATATCGGCCAAAAATAAATTTAATTGAATTTTTTGGACATGAATTTTCATCTCGACCAATTTCACTATGCAATCGAAACAACAATGACTTAATGAACAACCAAAACAAATCCACAGTTCTTACATTTAAAAAAAAAAAATTCCCAGAAAGCTTTAGTTCAATTAAACCAATTGATATTTCATCAATGCCTATTAATGAATGTGCTTTACTTATTGACGGTGGTGCTCTCTTGCAAACACGTCCTCCATCCAATTATACAGTGCTAGATTATGCAATTTTTCTATTGGAAAAAAAAATTATTATAGAATTTAATTATTTTGATCGAATTGACATTATTTTTGATTCCAATCGAAGTTATTCGATAAAATCTTTCATTCCGAGACATAACATGATTAATGAACAAAAATGTGTTTATTATAAGCTGTTACCAGAACATAAAATACCTACCGGTCGACAATTTGATCATATTTTACGAAGTGATAATCGTGCTGTTTTAGCAGCTGCTGTTGTCCAATGTTGGCAGTTGCCATCAGTACTCAAATTATTACCTATGCACAAGAAACTCGTTGTTGGTGGTCCAAATGCAACTGCTTTCTATCTTTCACGTAAGACTGAAACTTTTTCGTGTTTTAGACAAAAACGGCAGTATAGCCTATTATCTTATCTTATCAACAAATATCCGTAAGTAAGTAGTTACTTATTGACTAAAATTCTTATATATATATTTGACTTTTTATTTCAGCTTCCACTATTCTTTAATTGGGTATATGACATACGCTGTTTTGCTTGTATATTTTAGTTTTTCTACCAGATCAGCAGTAGTCATAAGGAAAGAGAATATAATTGAGGAAAATCATAGCTTTTCTTTGGCTGAAATGTTTTATCAAACAAAATAATAATAATAATAATAGAAAACGTGTTAAGATGTATACAACACATCAGTGATTCAATAGTAGTCTTGTCGAGATTTATTATATATTTTCCGAAGCAATAGATACGCTTCAAGTCTACCAAAAAATAGTCTGATTCTCGCCTAAATTAGAATTAAATTAATTATTCTGAACAAGTTTCCTATTGTAAATAAATGAGATGGTTCGTTTTAGGATGATCTTGTTGATCTATATATATTACCAATACTGTTAAATTGCTGGCCATTTTTCTCAATGAACTTGAGATTAGACAATAGCGCAGTCAAGATTATTTTGAATGATATAATTAGGCTGTATCCATTTTATTATTTTTGGCTTCCATTTGATTCTCTGATATACCGCTGTAGCATAGTAACAACGTAATTTTTGTGAATTAATATACCACCGATTCTCGTATGTTCGTATGTCTCTAATGCTAGTCTTGATATTTAATTATATCTTAGTTGATTTCCTGCTATAAATTTTTTATTTGCCGAAATTTTAGATGATTTACCACCTGAAGAAGCACTTGATTTGGAAAGTAATCATGACGAAGCCGATACTCGTCTCATTCTTCATTTACAAGATGCTGCATTGACCAATTATAAAACAGTTATTGTACGATCTGCAGATACTGATGTTGTTTTTCTCATGATATCGTATGCCAATACTATCAATTTAACAAATCTTGTCGTTGATGCAACTGTTCGTAGTGGTCAAGAGAAATATATCAATTGTACGATGATCCATAATGATTTAATCAACAAATACAAAATTTTTCCAGAACTTCTACTCGTTCTGCATGCGCTTACTGGATGTGATACCACTTCTTTTTTCCGAAATATATCAAAAACAACATTTTTTGAAAATTTTTTTGCTGATCCTCGTCTATACGATGACCTTGAAAAACTTTCTGTTTTTCCTATGGTTCAAGAAGATATTAAAGTTGTCGAAAGATTGATCTTCAATTGTATTCATCATGCGGAACGGCGATCAATAATAATGAATAATTCAAATCTCATTTCGTATAATCTATCAAATATTAACTCATCGATTGATACATCTTTTCTTTCAATTGATAATATACGAGCAGCTATGGCTATTAGTGCACTTCGAAAAGGCAACAAATCCATCGTCCTCACCCTTCCACCATCATCCGATGCATTGTTTCATCACTGTCGTAGAGCAAGTAGGCAATATCAAATATGGAGAAATGCACATATAGCGAATATTCCTTATCCTGAACTATTTGGTTTTGAAAATATCAATAATAATACTAAAATTAAATGGACAACAAAAAACCCTTTACCTGAAGATAATTTTCTTTTTCATGTAAATAGTATTTTTCATGTTTATCATTTTATAATTATCGATTGCATTTTAGTCGTGCAAATGTAAAGGTAGTTGTGAGAAGATGTGCAAATGTGGAAGATATTCACAACCATGCACTTTATACTGTTCCTGTGATGCAACAAAGTGTTGTAATCGATCATCAATTTCTCAACATCTATCAATTGGTCATGCTCAATCTGTAAGTTTAGAAACATTTTATCTTTTTTATCACAATCTCATTTTTAGTCATCAATTGTATCTATACATATGGATAATATGTTACATGATCATAACTATTTACATAAAATCAATGAAAGCATCGATTATGATCAATCATCTTTTGATTCTGGTGAAGATAATTATGCTGATAGTTCAGATTCTGAAGAGGTAAAAAGGAAAAATAAATATGAAACAATAAATCTCTTATTTACTTTTTTTTCAGGATATAATTCTTCCACCTGACAATCAATCTTCAACTAGCTCATGCAATAAAATTGATTTAAAACGTAAAGATTCTTTTATATCTGAATCAATGTCATTATCGCTGGTACAGTTTTTCAGATTTCATTTTTCTTATTTTATTCATCGAAGTTTTATTTTAGAAAAAGACGAAATTATATGATCATGTTCTTTCATTCGATTGACGTGCCAATATTCATTTAAGAATATATATTTTTTATTAGGATTTTATCTTGTCATTTTTCTATTAACATATATGTACACTTATATTTTTCTATTGATATTTTATTTCTGTTTTTTTTAACTTTTATTTGTATTTTTTCTCTTGATAATGATAAAATAAAACATTTCCTTAAAACATATACAAAATTCAAAAAGGCTAAAGATTGAGGGAAAAGTTTAGTACAACAGCAATAGAAAAATATAAGTGTACATATATGTTAATAGAAAAATGACAAGATAAAATCCTAATAAAAANATCACCCCGCATATATACATTAATTGCCGAATCACCCCATGCGGGGTGATTTGGCAAAGTTTCTGGTAGATCTCACTAAAATCATCATGAAAACGTTATTTTAAAAGATTTTGAGAAAGTAAAAACATCATTCGATAAAAATATATTTTTTCTACATACTTTGTACCAAAATTTTTCTTCTATCATTTAAAATAAAAAAGTTATGTGTGCTGCAACACAAAAATTCAATTTCTTGTGCCAAATCACCCCTTCTTACTCTACAAAAAAAAACAAGAATCTTTCTATGTAATCTATATTTCTTTCACACTTTGTTCCATAAAACAACATTTTTAAATATTGTTAATTTTACTTCTGTAAATGAAACCTTAATTATAATAATGAACTCCTTTGATTAATGAAAGAGAAATGCTGTCATAACATTAATTCTCGGTTACTACTCCTAATGGAATATCTAATTTAAATATAAGCTCAGCTTGACATAAAAAACATGTTTTTGTCGAATTTATGCTTGTCATTGTTGCTTTACCTAAGTCGATTTTTGTATTCCAATTTATATCATTGTTCATTCTCGTTGTACTTTTTGACACTGAAGCGTAGTATTCATTGAGTTTATTTCAGATTATCTTATAGATCAAAATATTAACTAACCAAATTCTGATCCGTACTACCATAATCTTATTATACTCTATAAGATTGATGAGAGAGTATAATGTCATTAAAAAGGAAGTCAAACATAATTCAATATTTGTTATTTCTCTCAGAAAAGTATGAAAGTGCATCACTGTCAGTTTTGTTCATAATATAGTGAAAGGGTTTCGAGTAAAAAAAGGACAAATTACGGAAATGCTTATTAAAGGAAAAGAATATGAGCATTAAATTATATAGAAGAATTTGATTATATGAATGAAGTATTTCATAGATAATATATTCTCAAAATGAAAATTCGTCTAACAACAAAAACTGTGTATAATTTTCTAATAAAAATTTATAAACCCTCGATTTAGATTTAATATCAGCAACAAAAAAGAAAACATCAATAATATATTCACTCACAATCTTTCGGCTTATAGTTAATTCATTAAATTTCTATTAAAAACTTATTCATACAATGCTTATTTGTTCTTTTAAACTCTTCTCTTTTTTTTTTGTCTAATCTTGCAAGATGATTATATGTCAAGTATCATATTGGTTCTTCAAGTTAATTTTCTAATTCAAACTAGAGAACTTACCATACTGATAATGAACTAAAAACTGTTGTTAAATAAACAGTAATTTGACAAATACCATTATTATGAAATATAAAAACACGTATATTTTCAAGCCAAATAAGGCCCAAACATATAAGATAACCATTGTCAGATATAGAAAGAGCTGTTAAATATAAACTACAACTTAAACGTCTAAAAAAGAAAAAAAAAAGAATTTGATTATATTTCTTTTCGGTACTGTTTATATATATATATTTTTTCATACTTAAGTTTACTTCGAACGAAAACATAACATGATATAGAATTACCAATAAATCCAAGAATGATTACAATTGCCATATAAATAACACCAAAACGTTGAAGTAGTCGTTGAAAATATTTTATTGAATTTCCATTTGTATCAACATTTTGCATAGCTATAACAGCTACGGATATTGCTGATGAATCAAGATAGTTTGTTGTATTTATTTTTGGCATTCTAATCTATAGAATATAAAAACTAATAAATGCCGGATTAATATCTATTTTCATACTCTATTAAAACAGAATCGAAATCAAGGATAATCTTACTTATACATCTATAGATATATATCATCAAAAATCAATTGTATATTTATCAAGGAATGATAGATGATGTGAAGGAGGAATAAAATAATTATTAATAACTACTAATGTGTATTCATAATGTTACACTATGTTCAAACAGAACGCAAAAAAAAAAAAGAAATCTACACTGTCATATATGTGATAGCAGCATAACTTATACGGAAAAATACACAGTAGGATACTAACAGCTAGACTCATAAACAAAACCATATAATGGTTACAGTTAGTCTGTAATTAGAAAAAAAAAGAGTGCTGTGAGACTTCAATTATTTTACGCTTATAAAAAACAGAAAATCTTTTATGCATCATTGATCTGTTCATATTACTGAGTTCGAATATTAATCTATCTGGCTATTTTCTGAATCTTCTCCGTTTATTTTAATAAAGACAATAAGTCTATATTCAAGTAGTTATTTCATCAATTATATAAGGATCAAAAAGACACTCTCAAATATCTTTCTTCTACTTATTTTGCTAGTTTTCTCTCACCACTACATTTATTACCAGCGGTATTATGAAGAATATGATATTCTTTAAAAGAGACTTTGCTTCTCTTCACACGATGTACTTTTTTTTTATGAACTTTATCATGCATCCCTTACGTTTTATATTGTTAATAGGAAGAGATTCTTTTAATTAACAATACTTGATTCACGTTATATGTACTTCGGCAAAATAATAGAAAAGAAAAAAGAAGAAAAAGAGAAACAGATACAGAAATAATTTTCAAAATAGTTATTATTGACATCGTTAATTAGTCCTTCGTTATGTTTATATTCATTGCCTTTTAACTAATTGATATCACTGAATTACTTTTTCTGGCTACACATACTGAAACCCTTACGTCGTCGTCTTTGATTTCTTTTTTTTCTCTCTGAACATCACTGATGCACGTCGTATTTCTTACACACGTATATTTCTGTCTTTATAATTCGTACTTGTATTGAATGCATTGTTAAATAAACAAGGCCACATGCCCGTCGGGTACTTTCTTCAATTTCTAATGAGCCTCCAAAATAATTGAAGGAAAAAAAGTAATATTTGTACCATTAGATTCTACGTATAGATATCAATTGATTGCATGCAGATCGTGCACCTAAAGCATTAGATTACCTGTCGTCGTCAAAAATTGTCTGTTTCCCTTAGGCGTAAATTGAAAGATAGATAAATACAATCTAGTGTAGCAATGACAAGCATACAGCAGCTTCGGACATATGCGCATGCACTTATCATCAAAAATGATAATCGATATACTACTGGATGTAGTATTACCATTTATTTGTGCATTTAGTATATCTTTTGAACGACTGTCATGACCATGAAAATTGATATTATGAACATTTCTTGGTTACAAAAGATACGGTAATAAGGAAATGATATACCGTAGTTGTCGTAGTAGTAGAAATAGTGAAGCTTTTAGTGTCAAACGGGAGAACGTATAAGCACTACTATCATCAGAGAATCAAATTAAGACCTTGGCTAATTGAGACATACACATACATCATAGGGTAAGGTCACCAACACCACAACCGTCGACCAGTTTCTTCTAAAGAAATTCACTTTCTTTTTCTTCTCCTCTCTTCTCTTCTCTTGCATTTGACCTTCGCGTGTCGGCTGTGATTACACGATAGCTTTCAGAATGAAATACAGACATCTAGAATACCACAACCAATAGACAAGTATGAGGTGAAGTACATACTGTAATCTGTACCATATATTAACTTACATTAGTCAATAAAGTTGCTATATATTAATCAAAATATAATGATTACTGAATATATATCAACAATCGAGAATGAACTAAAATAGACTATTGATGAAAGAAATCATGTTACCATTTAGATCGAAGATTCACGATGTTAGTACTTGAATGATGTTTCATAGTATGTCTTTTAATATGTTAACTCAGTAAAGAAAAAGATTTTTCTTGTTGCTATTATATGATGGCTTATGTCTCTTTAAATTAAATTATATATGATAAGATTGCATGATTGAGCTCTTCAATAATGTCAAAGAAAATACCACCATGTTGATATCGATTTCTATCATAGTAAAAAGTAGCACATTTTTTTTGCAATCAAGCGTAATGACTTCTATGTTGTTAAACATATGTTGTTGTTATACTTCCTTCAAGCATAATTTTCTCAATCTAATCATAGATCGATGTAGAATAGCGCAAGAGTGCAAGAAAATGAGAGAAGAATTGACATATAGTAAATGTACATGTGCTCAATAGTTGACAGCTATGAACATCAATCACCTGTCTATCATATATACAATATGCAGGGTTAACATGCTAATACCAATCGATTGAATCATCTTATATGAACAAGTTTGTTGAAAAGAGAAGATTGTTATCAATTATCGAAAAGTAACAGTGTAACTGTAAAATCAACAGTAATAAAATTTAATTAATAAACATTTAAGTTCAATATTCGTTATCTCTTTGGATTATCATAGTTGATGAATTTCAGACTGAATATTCACATTGACTTTTCAATAAACAAGAAAACGCTTATAAAAGTACATTTAATCATGTAGCAGAGATAAATATAGATGTGTAAGGCGCCGAAAGTTCAAAATTTTACCAAAGTTTTGTTTTCAATTCATTTAATGTCGTTAGATAGAACACATTAAGTTATCTATGAATAATTACTTTTCGATTTTTGGAAACAAATTTTTTTTTTGAGAATAGTGAGAAATAGATTAAATTCTAAATATCACCATTTGAGTCGTTTATTATCACAGATATGTTAGTATTTAAATTTTTTTCTACTTTGTAGAACATTATAAGAGTTATGTCCTAGTTCTACGGACAAAGTTGACTAGAAAATAGAACTTACTTACATAACGCTTAAAATATTCTAGAAAGTGAAAAAATAATAAATTATTCACATATCTGTAATCATGAACGAGTTCAATAATGTTATTTAGAATTTAGTCTTTTTTTCAATATTTTTAGGAAAAAATGCTTTCAAAAAACTGGAAAAGTAGTTTTTCATAGATAGCTTGATGTATTCTATCCAATGTCATTGAACCAATGGAAAACAAAAATCATCTAAAATGAATTTCGGGCACCTTATGTTCTATACACATAATTAAAAAAATGATTCCACTGACATGTGTATTTTGTGACTTCAAAAAATGTTTATTCAAAAAATGTCATGGGTACTATTATGATAATCGACGTACAGATGAAAAACAATTTTAAAGATGCTATTGTTGAAATGTATTCTACGCATAAAACTTTAATATTGCAACAATGACTTACATGATTATATAATGATGAAAGCGTCAAATTTTTTTTCTTGCATAAAAATATATTATTCAGATTTTTCAAAAACATTTAAAATTCAACAAGATTCTATTCATTGACTTTTTGCATTTTATAAAACTACTGTGCAGTATGAAAACAATATTTATATTATCCATTACATTATTTCACATAATGAAAGATTAATATTTTATTTTAGACGGAAATTATAATGATGTTTTTATGTAGGTTTTTTTCTGCGTAGTTCTTATTACTTTATATATTATATTTTTGATTGTTTTCTTAAAAAAGTCGTGCCAAGAGTTATAAGAGCACGAACACCTTTGTCTTTCCGATTTTTTATTATTCAGTGTCATTCTTCTTTTCTCATCAGCTTTCTGTGATCCTCTAAAAACGTACTCATTGAACACACTTTATCATAGAAATATTAGCTTCTTGTACTTAAAAATAAGATTGATAAAAAAAGCAAAATTAGAAAACAAAGAGATTATTTATGACCGAAAGTCTCTGAAGGTAACCATTACCCTGAACTCCTGTGAGAAAAACTTCTTATTTTAAACATTGACAAATGGTAGATCAATCGATGTAGTTTTTGACGCTGATTTGAAATATGTCTTTATTTCTGTCTCAAAATACTTCTGTGACAACGAAATTGTAGCTCTTTAGAAATGCTGCATCTCAGTCTGAAATCATTAGCGCTGACTGAGTCTATGTCCCAGATATAACAGAACACTCTTTGAAAGTGTCATCAATATCAGATTAGTGGAAAAAAGTGGCGGTCAACTTAACTGAATACGTATTTTCGAAAAACACCTAGCATAAAAAAGTAATTATTTTTTCAGAATGAAAAGTTGGAGAACAAAAACGCTTTTTTGTAAATCGATAGAGCAGAAATTCTAGTTTTTGGGCTGTATCTGACTTATCGTCAAGCTTTTTTTATTTTTCACACTAGAATCATGTTGTTCTCTAAAGATGTTGAAATTTGACCTTTTTTTGGCGATTCAGTTTCTTCAATGAAATTAACAGCTGAGATAGACTTGTTTTTTTGGCAAAAAACTCATTGTTAATCGAAGTGTATCAGTTGCAATTCATATCTCGAAAAAGCTCAATTTCATTTTATCACCAAATGTCCACGTTGTTGTCCACTATGGGACAAAGGCAGTAATTCTCTTGCAAACTGTTTAGATTAAGGAGAATCGTTAAGTAAAAGAAAGTCAACTAATTCAGCAATTTACTGAAAGATAGCAATATCCAGTTAAACTTGATTTTGGTATTTTAATATTTTTGCTAGTATTTAAGGGAGAGCCCATCCCTCAGAAACTAACTTTGTTATTTTTCGTCCGATTTCACTCAAATTTTTTGAAGGGTATTAATCTAGGATAGAATAGATTATGAGTGAAATATCTCCCTCAAAACTCCAATAAACTAACGAATTATAGTTAATTTATTGGTCAAAAGTACCCTGTACACGGCCAAGATTTTCACAATAAGAATACAAGCTAATATGCCTGGGTGGTTTTTAGGTTGTAGAGTGCCCTTAGGGCTAGATCGTGACAGGGTGCAATTTTTGAATTTTCCTTCCTTGGTTTTTTAAAAATCCTTTTTTCAAAAATTCTTGAATTCATGGCCAAAAAAATCACTGATCAAAACGAAAGATCTACGGTTTTTATTTCAGCAAAAGAGAAATTCATAAGTCAGACTCTGTGACGACCTAGCCCAACCTGTCTTCTTCTTCTTCTTCTTCTTCTTTAACCATCTTCGTTCCGAAGGTTGGTCGCATTGTGAACAATTCTTCGCCATTGTTTCCTGTCTTCCACCAGCAACAACGTTTCTGCCATTGATAGTCCGGTCCATACTTTGATGTTGTCCATCCATACCATTCTCGGTCTTCCACGTGCTCGTCTTCCTGGCATTGTACCTTGAATTATATCTTTTTCAAGGGATTTTTCTTTGTTTCGTAGCACGTGCCCGTAGTATTTAAGTTTCCGTGATTTGATTGATTCCAACAAGATTCTCTTGACATTTGCTGTTTTTAATATCCATTCGTTTGTTTTCCTTGCCGTCCATGGTGTTCGCAATATGCGTCTCAATCCTTTCATTTCAAACGCTTTTATGCGGTCTTCGTCTTCTTTCTTGATTGTCCAACTTTCGCATCCGTATGTAGCTATTGGCCATATAAGTGACTTCAGCAAACGGATCTTCCTGTGCACCGGTATATTGTGACTTTTCCATAACTTGTTTAAAGATAAGCTGACTCCTTGTGCTTTGCAAAGTCTGCTTCTTATGTCTCCACTGCTCGTAGCGTCTTCTGCGATGACCGAACCAAGATATGAAAATCTGTTGACTTGTTCCAACTGTAAGTTTTGTATTGTGATGCAACAGGACGTTCCATCTGTGGCCAAAACCTTAGTCTTGTCGATGTTGATGTGCAAGCCATATTTGTTTCTGCTTACATTGTCTAACCTAGTTACTAGTTCTTGAAGTTTGTTCACAGATTGTGCTATGAGGACAATGTCATCTGCATAACGGAGATTTGTTATTTCTTGACCACCAATTTGAATACCACCCATAAAATCATCGAGCGTTTCTCGCATCACTATTTCAGCCATGATGTTGAATAGGTAAGGCGACATCACACATCCCTGTCGTACGCCTTTCTGTATACGAAATTTTTCCGAGAAGGTACCTGCTACTTTCACTTTTGCATTTTGTTTTTGATACAATTCTGCTAGTAAGTGAATCAGGTGTAGCGGATAACCCATTTCTTTCATTGTTGTCCAGAGTTTCCTATGCGACACTGAGTCGAATGCCTTTTTAAAATCGATGAAACACATGAACACTGATTGTNCCGTTATTTTTTACAGCTTTTTATATGTCGTTACTTTTCATCTTTTTTCAAATATATCTAAGACAGTTTTTGGGACTAGTCATATATAATTTTGTAGAGAATTTCAAGCGCTATCTCTTAGTATAAAAAGATGTCCCGATCTAATGGATAATAGAAGAGTTATACTCAAAATACGAATGGTATAATTTATTCTGGGACACCCGTTAGATAAAAACTTGCGGTTTTCACCATTGAAAAGAGCAATGTCGGGGGTATTGATCGGTATGAGATTTATTAGGTTCAGAGAGTTCTTTCATGGGTGCTTTTAGACTGACATTTTTTTCGTTGCCATTTTTTGATCACTTTTCAGAGGAATTTCAATACCAATTATACCAAAATATAGCCCTAAGCACCATTTATTCCTATAGAAATTATCATGTTCTTTAAAAACCTCATCGAAGAAAAAAGTTGAAAAGATAATTAAAAAAATTGAAGAAATTTTACTAAGAACACAGGGTGTTTTGGGCTACATTTTGGTATGATTGGTGTTGAAATGTCTTTGAAGAGTGATGAAAAAAGGCAACGAAAAAAAATATCACTCTAAAGTTACCCATGAAAAAACTCTCCAAACCTAATGAATCTTACACTGATCGATGCTCTCGACATCGCTCTTTTCAATGATGAAAACCGTAGGTCTCTATCTATCTTCATTCTCGAGATATTTGTTCTAGAGTTTCCTTTCCTATTTCTGGCGTCTGCAATAGTATTCAAATTTTAGAGTTGTTTCTTTTTATTCTTTATTATGAAAAGAATTTGATTGTTTTCAGCCACTTGAAGAATTCTGAGAATATACTTTGTAATATATAATAATAATAAAAAAGAAATTGTCAAATTAAATTCCACATACATCATTTCAAAGAAAAAAAAACTCGTTTGATCTTACAACACAATAGATGCATTATATTAATTACAACATGTTTAACCATATATAAATAAGTTTCATATAGACATGCCGACTTCACATTAGTTTTAACAGTAATTAATATATTTCTGTATTACGGTTAAAGAAAATAATATTGAACTAACATTAAAATAATTCAAACAACTATCATAATCATGCATGTTTTTTTTTCAAAAGATGTTCCATTGAATGTTGTATTCGGGTCATAAGATGAAATCTTTATGGCTATAGTAGAAATTCTAACACTGAAAATGCATCTTATCATGTAATTTATCACAAGAAAAAAAAATCGAAAAAATCCATTTTAGGATTGATTCTACGAGATCAGTAACGATTTTCCCTCAACGTATTTTCATAATGTGTTATTGAAGCCAAGTTCTCATTGCATTATTCGGTTGAGCTTAATTCTTTTTTAATATTTCTTTTCCTACTCGAGAATATTTAATCAAGAGACATCGGATCTAACGATTTATGTATCAAGCTTACTGGTTTTAGACTATTTGTTTGCAAGCACTATTTTTCAAAATAAAACACATTTTATCTCAGAACGAAGAATTCAAATTAATTAACATAGACGGTTTTTTTCGCTGGTATTTGACATGAGGATAAGTAATAATCTTCATGCTTTTGAAAATCAGATTAGGCTTCTAATTAATTTCAAATATTATAGCCAAAATCAATGAATGAAATTCAACAATATTCGACTTTCTCTTATTTTTCCTTGTAGGAAATAACACGATAATATACGTGTTCAATGTTAGCAGTCTATTAAAATTTCGAAAAATACTTATAAAGATTTGGTTTTGTTATCTGTGTAGAACATTAAATGGCACATCTTTTGAGAAAAAAAGATCAACGTTTTATCACGTTCATGAATCGAATTTCATCCAACACAAAAAAAATATCGCAAATCTTTAGCTTCACCCAGTACCAATTCACTTACGAAAAACATTTACTCTTTACTTCAATCTTCTTCGTATATATAAAATGAATTAAGCAAAAATTATTATTCAAGTGTAATTGAGATGTCTGCACAACGTTGAAATGAGAACTCACGATAGTTATTTGGCATTATGTTCATGCTAATCTAATACTAATTACTAAGAAAGAAACAACATATTTGATTATTTGTTTTTGTACTAACGCAAAAAAAAACATGAGATGATTTTTCTTTTAAATCCTAGTATCACAATGACAGTATTTTTTTTTTCATACTAATACTAAGCTGATATATTGTTTTCTTTTCCTAAGACGAATAGTAATTATTCTATAAATATTTGTTACTTTTCTTCATTAAGAAGTTGATTTAAATGATTTAATTTGAAGCGTCTTTTTTTTTTAGGATATAAATTTTTAAGAACTAATAATAATAACTCTTACCTAAGAGTAATGTATGCCGATTTAAACCAAATATACGACTATACATAAAATCATAATAACGATGAAAAAAATTTGGTTCTTGAGGAAAAAGACATTCATGAAAATGATATTTTCGTCGTATTTCATTACGTGACATTCGATGACCTGTTTGAAAATATATAATCTTTTGTATTAAATTAACAATTGGTTTTTGATGTTGATCAAAATAATATGATAAAATATTTATTAATTTATCTTGTGTACATATAGGATTTGGTTCTATAAATGATGTTTGATTTGTTTGTAAACTATTTATTGCATAATTAACACATTTTAATTCATCTGGTTGATCCAATATTGTATTTGTTAATATATGTGTTGTATTTTCCATATATTTAGTCATAAAAATAAACCAATCATATGTTATATTACGATTATTTGATTTTGAACAAAATAATGTTAAACCAGCAAATTCAAATGTATATGCAATAAAAAAAGCTGATAAAATAATTAAAAATGTCCATTTATATTTACATGTATCTTTAAATGCTGTTGGTAAAACAAGAAATTTTAATGAACGTATTATAAATGTTGTTCTTTGAACAGACATAATTGACATTAATATCAATGAAAACCGTATATATGTTTCTGACTGTACTAATGGTACGAAAGGTTGTGGCCATGTTTGTGTTGCATGTTGATATACACGTGCAAGAAATGTTTTTGAACATGATTCTTCAATATTTGTAGGAATTTTAAATAATGTTTGAGAATAATAAGGTACTTTCATTAAACGAAATAATAAATAAATTGAATCAGCAAATAATAAAACAATAAAATATGGTGTTATGATACGATAACGAAATTTTTGTCGAAGAAATACCAATATACATAAACCATTGCCTGATGAACCCAATATAAATAAGCATATGCCAATAAATGTACATGATATCGAGAACATCTTATCTGAAGAAAATATTTTTTTTTTTTATATTAAAAACAAAAACACATTTAGACAAACATGTTCAATGATTTGAAGAAACAGTCGATTAATCTTTGAAAAAAAGCATATGTTTTGACAGGCATGATAATTCAAAGACTCTCAAGAGTAAAAATTTTTGTTTGTAAGACAATCAAAGAATACTAGCTTTATTATGTAGAGTGAGCAATAGAAAAAATTGTTATTAATAATATATGTCAAGGTTTCCCTAATGAAATGAACAAACATCCAAAGGTTCCTGCATGGTTTTTCTACTATTACATACTAATCTTTATGTTACCATTTCGTGCTAAAACAAACATTGTTTTCGGCATAATGAATTAACAGGTACTTGACTTATGTTCTCATAATAAATTATGAAGAAAAAAAAAAAACAAAGATATTTGATAAAAAAAAAAAAACAACCAAATGATGACAGTCAAAGGAAACACACTATACTACAAGGAAAAAAAAGAGGACAAGTGCTGACAAATATAGGGAAAAGAAAAAAAAATGTTAGAATTATGAAATGATTTCCGTTGGTTTGAGCTCATCATCAAAGTATGCTTGTGCTCTTATGGTGGATTACTACTTATGCTCCAATATTAATCACATACAATACTAGACGAACAAAAAAACGAAGTTAATTAATTTTTTTTTTCAATAAGAATATGTAAATGAAAATATGTTAAAAATAACTGAATATTATAGATTAATCTAGATTTTAGTAATTCGTAATCATATCTTAATTATTCTTATTCGATAGATTTCTTTTGTTTTTTTACTTTTAATAGATCAAGAAGTACATGCATACAGAAAAGAATAACATTTATTTTTATTTATTTTTTTTCAATTGGAAAAGTCGATATTTCTAAATTTTCATAAAGAAAGAATCAATCAGATGTTACTTTTAAATACGAACGAAGAAAAACAACGATTACCTATTTTGATGATTTCATTCTGTTTGACAAACTCGTCTGTAAACTTATAATATTTTAGTAAGACTATAAGTAAAGAAATAAGCAAAAAAATAAAAACAAATCAGAAAGGAAAAAAAAAGAAAGCTAATTTTTTATTTATGCATAGGTTTCTTCTTCAGTGCTCATCTAATCATAACACAACAACAACACGTTACAACACAAGAAAACCATTCAAGCCTAATCAGTACTGTACGATGCATACCGAAATCTTTTTTTTATAAGAATAATATGAAAATAGCTGAGCTTTGTATTGCTTTTAAACTATCACAAAAAAAAAACTTCTAATTGTTAAAATAACTATCGATCCAGAAGAACATATGCGTACTCGATTTTATATTATATCTGTAAGACTTCATCAGTGACATCATACTATCTGTCACCTAATCTCAATCCTTTCAACTTTTGATAATTATGGTGAATTTTAATTTCTGGAGGAAAACTTTAGAATGCTCAACATATGTAAGAAAAAACACCTTACTTAACAAGTTTTCATCAATGTTGAACGATTATATATTTATTCAAAATAAAAAAAGGTTTAACACATGTAGACGTGACAAAATAGAAGATGTGTTTGTCAGCCTACACTTTTTAACCCAATATATATGTCATAAAATCATTGTTTTTTTTTTCATTCCCAATTAACATTATTATGATTATTTGACTCTATTCTAAGGAAATATATTTAATAAAATGTCATGAAAAGTAAAACTCTGACCTTATTTACAGTGTATTAGAAAGAAGATATTTTGTTTTTGTTTTCGTGATCATATATTATACCAATGCACATCATCATCCTTTCTATGGTAACTCAAAATACATGAATACATAAAAATTTGTAATGAACTACTAGTAATATTTCAATATACTTGAGTAACAAAAAAAAAAAGAATTTATTCCAAACTACTTCATACTTAAGATGCTGTAAATTGAATAAATAAATGATGCGTTTGTTGATGAGTAAAAATTATTATTTTAAGTGGATGTATGCCTTACGTATATTGTTTTTCTATTTGCATATTGTTGACGATGCAATATATTTTCTTAAAAATATTACCATATGGTCTAATTCAGTAAAGCGTTAGATACATTTTAATATTCGAACTCATATGAATAATGATAATATTTATTTATAGTTAATTTAGTAAATGAAAAACAATCCGAATTTTTTCTACTTATCAATGAATACAAAAATTCAAAAGAAAAATGAATATATTATTTTTATTAAGCTATGATAAAGAATATCCTATCCAGGTTAGCTGTTAAATAATCAATAGACTATTCATATGACGTCTTCGTCACTTCATATAAGTATTTATGTGACTTTTGTTGTCTTATAGACACTTGAGATTATCTATGTTCATATTATAAATGAATTTTGTTCTCAATAGACGACATAGATTATTATTATCAAGATACATCCTGACATGATTAAATAATATCTCAGTTATTTGATAAAAAAACTATATTTAAAAATTTGAAATAGCTAAATTCAATTATTAATGTATGTTGCTATAATCTAAGTTTCAAAAAACTAGTGAATTATTTTGTTATCATACGAAATAGATAAAAAGTTTTATTGCAAGATAAAAATTTACTTTGCTATAGATTATATTAACTATTGAAGACATATTCAATATATCATTGAATTAGTATTTATTTAAGTCATATTCAAAAAATAAAAATAATTATCATTTATTTAAAGGTCGTTTGAAGAATGTTCTTCTTCATAAAGATCAAAAAAACTTTCCTGTGAATGATGATCAAAATATTCAAATAAAGCCTTTAAAGTCAAAAACTATTCAAACTATATCTAATTCAGTATTCCTTACATAATTTGACTATGTAAATAATAATTTAAAGTAAAAGTAGCGATACTATCATACGTAATAAAGGTTCTTGTTTGTATTTATTACGATAAACGAACCTATATAATGATAGAGATCAACATGATATAAAAAAGGATTTACAGTAATGAAAATCTTGTCTAGTAATTATCTTTATTTAACCTGATACTTTATCCATCAAAAGAAAAAAAAAAAAACTTCCGTAATAATTAAGGAAACGCGGGAAAATGATTTTGTATTTGATTATTATGCTTCAATCTGACAAATTTTATGATTTCATCAATCATAAACACATTTCTCACTATCTTAAGTTCATTTTTCGATTATCTAGTAACTATGATTTACTCAAAAAAATCTTATAAAACCTATACATTTAATAATATTTTCTTTTTATAATGATATTTATTAAACTTAGAATTATACGTTATAAAAGTCTCGAAATGAGACTATTTTGCTGTTCTACAGGAAACAAGAAAATGCTAATTAATTCAAAAATTCACCGTGTATTTTCCAGTAAAAGACACAAAAATAGAAACGATATAAAATGAATTCATTGATCCTTAACACATAAAGATTAGATCTTCTATTTATAAAAAACTAATCGAACGACGCAAAGATTAATGAATCCTTTGAATTTTCTGCGAAAAAAAAATCATATTACATTCTAATAACTAATGAGTTTATATTTTGTAATAGATTATTATTAAAATTTATTATTGATAGATTCAGAAGAAGAAAAAAAAATAAAAATAAAACATTTTTTGTCAACATAAATGAACGTCCGCAGTTATTGAATACATTTTTCAATCTATGATACTATGCAATTGAAAAGGTAAGAATTACTTTTAACAACTATATCCCATGGTAATTTCAGATTGAGATCTAATCATTCTATTTCTAGAAACAAAAGAATTTAATTATACTTGCCTCGTTATTGTTTTCTCGAAATAACAGACCTAACTTTTGGGGTCAAGTTTTCATATTTTTCACATATTTTCCATCGAAAAAATAGAAAACAACAGTGCAATACTATATACTTCTATTTTGCAATGCAAATAGACATGCAGGAAATAGAAAAAAGAAAGAATAAATTCCGGATGACCAGAATAGGTAGCATGTCTATATAAAAATGCAAGAAAATACAAACCAAATAAGTACAATTACAAATTCAATAGAAAGAAAGGCAACCAAAATATCAAATTAGCTGCGTGTCTTCCTACACTCATACTTATGCATTGACCACGAAGACAGTCCTGAATAAGTTTCTAAAGATATCTCGTGATTTTCTTTTTATTTCTGTTGCATGTCTGATGACTTGTAAGTTGAGGTACTCTACAACGCAAATATATCTTGACATCATGTCACAAGTACTTGCACTTTAAGAGTGCTAATATAGGTAAGAATATTTGATATTATGACCAGAGCCGCGCGAGCGGGGGGAGGAGTGTACACCCCCCCCCAATAATTGGAAATTTTTGTTTTTTTTCAGCGACGGGCGCAGATTTGGAACGAATTTTGTGTTTTTTTTAAGAACTTTTGCTCTAAATACCCTTTTACGACCCCCCCAAAGGTTTTTACGCCCTTTCACAAACCACTGCGCACACCG